TGGGGGTGGGGGGGTGGGGAGATCGGGAGGTTGACACTTTGGCGCGCCGTTTCCGGACTCTGAGGCTAGTGAGGGTTATTAGGGTTTTAGGGTTTTAGGGAAGGAGGAGGCCCATTTCATTCCCCTCCTTACCCCGCAGAATTCCACCCCTCTCCAAAACACCCTTTCTCCCTCCCCTCCTTGCTCCAGCAGAAGTTTGCAACTTTGAACATCAGGGCAATTGTTTTTTCTTTTTTTTACTTGGTTGTCTAAATTCCCGCAGGCCAACCCCCATATATTTTGTGCCCCTTATCTCTCCGTGCTCTGTTCTGCGAGCCATACCCCTCCAAACCCCCCTTTTCCCTCTCCAGTTTCGGACTTGGGACGCCGCCAGTTCATTCCTTGCTTCCTTACATATTATTTACCCCCAGTCCCGCGCGAGCTGATCTGGCCGCCTCCACCACCTCTTCGGCCTCGGGAGCTGCCGCCGCCAGCGGCGGCGCTGACATTGACGTATCCTTGCTAGAGGCTGCCGTACGGGGCCTGGCTTTTTTGGCGGGCGCGAGTACGGAGGGCCGGCTGGCGGTGACGGGCTCCCGGGCTGTACGACGGCTGGTGGCAGTCGTACGGGCGGATAATGCTGCGCTAGAGGCTTTACGGCAGCGTCGGAGGGAGGAGGGTGAGGGGGGTTTACGGGGGGTTGGGAGGCGGGTGATGGTGGTGGCTGAGGGGTCACAGGCAGGCCAGGGGCATTGAGGCTCATGTTGTCGGATGACCCCTGTTTTCCCCCCCTGAGCAACCGCCTCCCTCACCCCGGGACCACTCACGTGGTCGGTTTGAGAGCCCCGTCAGCTGATTGTTTCTACACCTTTGCATCATCTTTTAATATCATAATAAAGTGGAAAAAATGCCGCCTTTACCCCTTCTCAGGGCATTATTTATTATAATGTATCATTTCCTTTAGACTTTAGCTGCACCATTCTATTACTATCATTCTATTACTGCTAGCAGAATTTCGGAAAAATCACTGACGAGTACAATTAATAAAAAGGAAAAGCTAATTTCAAATGGAACGACCCAGCTGGGTGCTTGGGAGAGCATGTGGAACGTTAACTACTGTAACCTCCCCCTCCGGCCCTCCGTCTCCCCCTCCCTACTTAAAAGGTATCCCCCCCTGGAGCCGGCTGGAGGACCTCATCTGCCCTCTCAGAGCAGTCAACGGACTGCCAATTGCCGTACCTGCCGCACAGGCCGCCTCCCTAGCAGCCCTACAGCAACAGCAGCCCGGTCCCGGTACACCCCACGGCTCCTACTCCTTCGCCCCTTCCCCATCACCCACGTCGCCGTCGCAGCAGCAACTGCGCAACAGACCACAGTCCAGTGGCGGCGGCGGCGGCGGCGGGGGCGTGGGTATGGTCTCTCAACAACAGCTGTATCACCAGCAACAGCAACAGCAGCAGCAGCAACAGCAGCAGCAGCAAGGTGCATGGCCGGCGGCCTCCCGGCCAGATTCCACACGCCGAGCGGCTGGCACTGGTACTGGCGTAGGCGCTGGCACGGGTCTGGGGGCGAACCATAGAACACGGTCCTTAGGGCGGGGCGGGGCGGGAGGAGCAGCAGCAGCAATGCGGGTGGTGGGTTTTGCGGACGACGTGGCGGACGGCGGCGCCGCCGCCGCCGCCGTACGGCGTGGCGGCGCCGGCGGCACCACATACCCTCAGCAGCTGCAGCAGCAGCAGGCACATACTCATCACCAGCAGCAACAGCAGCAACAGCAACAGCAGCAGCAGCAGCAACAGCAACAGCAGCAGCAGCAGCAACAACACCATTTGGATGAGGACTTGTTGGTGGCGTCACGGCAGAGTGGTGATGCCGATGTGGGGCTTATGGCGCTATGGGCGTTACTCAATCTATCAGCCTACGAGCCAGCGCAGGTACGGCAGTATGGTAGAATGTACGGGGGAGGAAGGAGAGAGAGCGTTGCCCTGGGCTTGTGTGTGCGTGTGTGTTTTGAAAGGGGGGAATGACGTCCATTCCCCCCATCTCCCCCTCCACATCATATTCCCTCTCTCTCAACGTGCCCTGCCATGCTATTTCTTCATACCCCTCTTCCCTTCCGGCCTTCCCGCCCCCCCCCCTTGCCCTCCTGCGGTGCGGCCACCATCACCACGCCGCCGCCGCCGTCGCCACCGCCACCACAGACGAGCATCTGCCGGCACGGCTTATACACATTGATGGCTGCCGTACACGGTTCCGCCGACCCGGCACGATCTGCTGCTGCACGCGCCGTTTTGACCAACATCCACTACCACCCGGGCAATGCTACTGTGCTGTACAAAGCGGAGCTAAAACTTAAGTACGCGGCCCTAGCCAGAATGCTGGAAGAGGAGCGGCGGGAAAAGGTCAGTTTTACACAGGTTTTACAGTTCCGGTTTTAGGGTTTTAGGGTTTTAACGCTTTATGCATGGGCTCTGTTAACGGCCATACAGCCCCACCGGGACAGAGTCATGAAAACAATACATGGCAGGACAATGGTTAGGACGCCGCGATATTTGCTGTGGGAAACTTGGTGGTTTTCCTTGCAAGCTCGAAAAGCCGTTTTAGGGTTTTAGGGTGGTTTAGGGAGAGGAGCTTTCATGGGGGATTATGGCGTAGGAGAGGAGCTTCGTTAGGCTCAGTTTAGGGAGTTGCTGTATTCATGAATCTTCTCAGGGGTTTCATTACTTAGGGGGGGTTTGCTTAGGAGGGGGCTTTCTTATGGGGTAGGTAGACTTGGGTGTTTTATATGTATCTTGTGTGATGTGCGTTTTGTAAGTACGATGTGACGTGATGTGGGTTCAGGAAGCACGTGAGGCGGCCCTACGGCGCATGGCGGCTGCCGCCGTAGTTGGCATGAACATAGGGACGAGTAGCGGCATCGCCAGTGGCAACAACAGTGCCAAAGGCGCCGGCGACGCCGCAAGCGTCGACGGCAACAGTCGTCCTTTGAGTGCGCGAAATGTAGCCGTCGGCGCACAGCGTCCCGTCTCGCGCGGCGGCGGCAGCGGAGCGGCTGGGACACCGCGGCGGGCGGGCAGCGCCGCGGCGGAGGTGGCGCGGCAACAGCTGAGCGCGATGCGTGCCGCCGCCGCTGCTGCGGCGGCTGCCGCCGCCACCGCCACTGGCGGCATCGATAGTGGTGCGCCGTCGCCGACGGGGCCAGGCCCTGTGGGAGCGCTACCTGGAGGTGGCGGTGGCGGCGGCGCCGCCGCCGCCGTCGCTGCATCGACGGGCGCTCCCAGCGCCTTGGCGAGGCCCTTGAGCGCCAAACCATTGGGACTGCCCGCCGTGGCCTCCGCGATGGCGGCGGCGCCGACGGTATTGACGCCGGGTGCCGTCGGCAGCAGCTCCGCTGCTGCCGCCGCCGGACCTGGCGGCGACGCTGACGGCGCCGCCGGGCCCGCCGACGGCTCCCATCTCGACACCAACACAATCGCCGCGCGGGTCCGCTTTCTTAAATGGGTCCTCGATCCCAACGTGACGGGGGGAATCGAGGTTGAGCGCGGCGGCGGCGGCAGCGGCGGCGGGAGCACTGACGGCGGCGACGGCTGGCTGGCTAATGTGACGGCGGCGCTGGGGGCGGCGACGGATGGCGGCGACGCCGCGGACATGATGGCGACGCTGACGGCGGATCCCGAGGAGCGCAACTGGCTGGACATGGTGACGAAGTACGGCGATTTGGACGAGTACGAGGAGCGATTGGACGCTCGCAGTGAGCAAGGTCGGTTCATGCGGGGGGTCCTTACGCGCTCTTTGGCCGGAGGGGCCAACAGTCTGTGGCGGGAGCAGAACGACGATAAGGGCAGCTCCGCCGGTGGCGGCGGCGGCGGCGGCGGTGCCAATGCAAGGCAGATGGCCAGTGCGCGAATGCGGCCCGTAAGTGAGTCGTCTGCCCCTGGCAACAGCGGCGGCGGCGCCGCAGGCGCCGCTGCTGGCGGCGGCTATGCCGCGGACCGGCCCAGATCCGCGTCCGTACAACGATTGCGGATCGCTGGCGGCGGCGGCGGCGGCAATGGAGGCACTTCACGACCTGGCTCGGCAGCGGCACCGGTCGCCGCCAGCAGCGGCGGCGGCGGCGAGGCTGTCCACGGCGCCGACAACGGACGTCGGCCCGGCTCGGCATTACGTGGTTCACCACCGGTGACATCCCTGGCCTGGCCCGCCGGCGCGCGGGCAGCGGCGTCGGTGACGTCGCCGTCGACTGTTGGCGGCGGCAGCGGCCTGTCAGCATCCGCGCCGGCGCGCTTCGTCAACCTGTACGGCATTCCCACCGGCGTCACCATCAACACTCGTCAGGCGCCGCAACCGCATAAGCCGCGTGTTCCTAGCAGCGGCGACGCCGGCTCGCAGCAGCGACAGCAGTCGGGATTTGCGCTCCAAGGCAATCCATGGTCTCCGCACATCCTTAGATTCGTACAAGACCCGCCGTCCTCAGGTCCGTTGGGGAGCGCATACGTTATCGCGCGTGGCTGTACGGCTGTACGATATTTTCTTGGCTGAAGGTGCTGAACGTCTATCGATTTCCCAGTGCTGCTTTTTTTTCCGTGCATGACCCGCTCTCCGTCTTTGGCGAAATTTGGGATTCCCTTAGCTTCTCTCTGTCGTACCGTCTTGCCTTTGGTGCGATATTTTTCCATCTTTATGTGTTATGTGTTCAAACCTGCCGCATGTAAACTTCAGGAGCTTTGCTAAGTGTGTGAATATGAACATGCGGGGCAGGGCGGGGCAGGGCGAATACTGTATGTCGTAACCCACCCGCGCGGTGTTTTAGGCAGATAATTAGTTTTTATTGTTATTTATTATTTCGTTATTTGTTGCAGACGAACCCATTTGAAATTCGTCGAATGTCAGCAACGACAACAACGCCAGCATTTCTTACAGAATTCCTCGCAATAGGCTCGCTTAACGGCTGCGTTCCGTACCTGCCGTACTCAACTGACAAATGGATGAACAAATAACTAACCGAGTAACTATCTAGCAACTGCTCATTGATTTCCAGGTGGTCCGACTCTTCGCGGCGAATTAGCCAACCGAATGCTGACGGCGGTTGCTCCCGAGTACGTTGTGGAAGACCTCGCAGGACTTACGGTAAGTGCAACAGAAAACTGCAACTGCCGCCGCCAACTACCAACAGACTGCGTTAAGGATGGGGCCAACCTTCCGCAGGGAATCCAGCCAGGTGTTGGCGACTTGGGGCCTTGGGGGCATCTGCATGGCAAACCAAACCAACCAACTTACAACCGAAAGAAACGAAATTTTTTTTCACTGAATACGACCCCACATATGATTGTTTCACTTTTAACAATTAACAAGATATATTGCTTTATTGCAGAAACCTAATTCTTTTACTTCATTAACATTTTAAATTTTCAATTTTACATTTTTTGTAGAAACGGCTTATGGCATTAACAGCGGACCAACGGCGGGAGGAAGAGGACGCGCGGAATGCGGCTACGGCGGCGGCGGCGGCTTCGGGGGGGGCCGGGGCTTCTTCCAGGATTTCGGAAGACGATACGTCGCGAAGGCAGCGCTTAGCCACGTCGACTTCGGGCGCAGTGGCGGTGGAGGGCGGTGGCGGCGGCGCCGCCGCGGAGGATGGCGGCAGCGGACGCCAGGTGTGCCACGGGTGTTTGGCCGACGAACACCCGTCAACCGTAAAACAGGCCGACGAACCAAACCGAACACACTCTTTCGAACGCCCGCAGCGTTTGAGTTGTGTTGACGCAGCGGGAACGAGTCTTTCCGCGAGATGGCTATTATATTTGATTGTTTGTAGAAATGGAGAGAAGAGAAGAAAAAGGCCTCGGACAGACATGGCGACCCATGGGTATGTATGTACGACATGTACGGATGTACGTACGACATTCATCGCTGCATCAAGAATGTCACAGAGAGAATGTGTGTGTGTGTGTGTGTGCGTGTGTGTCTGTTTCGACATTGCTAGCAATTTCCAAAGGTACAACCCGGGCTCAGCCTTTCCTTGCATGATGTGATGTGACGTGTTGTGTTGTGTTTATTGTGTCGTTTGCTGCAGGATAACAACAAAGTGGAAGAAGAAATGTCGTACTTGTCATGCCATGACGCACCGCCAGTTGGTCCACGCGGCGCGGCGCCGGCGGGTACGATTTCCGTACGGAACTGGGCAAAGCACCGGCTTGCTTTGAAGGACCGAACGCTAAGTCTGTACCGTTCAGGGTCGGTGAGACCCGCACGCGGACTATGGGCTGGCGACGACGACTCCGACGGAGATGACGGCGCCGGCGGCGGCCGGCCTAGCACTCGTGCCAATCGCCTCAACGGCGACCGTGACGCCACCGACGCCTCCGGCAACTCCGTGGCGGCGTCGGTGGCGGAAGCACGCGACGCGCTGGCGCTGGCGACGCGCAGCCGTACTGGCGGCGGCAGCACCACAAGCGAGAGTGACGACAACGGTGAGCCACTTGCGCCACGAGAGACGCCGCTGCTGGTTTCGTTACTGCCGCCAGTTCTGATCGGGGGCTCCGCCGCCGCCGCCGCCGCCGCCGATGGCGCGCCGGGATCGCCCCCGCCAGTGTCCCCGGATCCCGTCGCCGCCGCGCCGGCGGTGGCAACAGCCGCCGCTGCCGCATCCGTAATTTCCGCGCCGCCGTCCGTCATTGCTGGCGGCGGCACCCTCACCGCGGTGCCGTCGTCGTATATCAACGGCGGTGGCGGCGTCGCCGCTGCTTCGATCCTCTCCTCGTCGTTAGCGCCGTCAGGCCTACCGACCGACACCGCAACGATGCTAAAGGGCTCCAACACCAGCGACGTCATCGCCACCGTCGACGGGCGCCTCGCACGCGCTCTCCACAACCCCGCCGACTCGTACCGGAAACCACATGCCGGGTTGGCATGTCCCCCGGGCACTCGAATCTCCACCCTCCGTTCAACCAAGCCCAGCAAAAGCGTGCTGACGCCGGGCAGCGTCGGCGGCGCGGCCGCAGCCGCGGCGGCCGCCGCGGCCGCGGCGGCGACCACCGCTTCCGGTATCGGCTCCGTCCTTGGATCTCAGTTCGGTGCCGGCGGCGGCGGCGGCAGCAGCAGCTTGGGGACTGCTGCTGCTGGCGGCATCGGTGGCAGCGTCGGCATCGGATCCCCCCCGTCGTTGTTGGGCTCCACATCCCTCGTAAGCCGTAGCTCGGTCCAAGGGAACAACGAAATCATCATGGTGCGTTGGGATCTCGGGTGATTCTGTTTGTTTCGGTTGGAGGTCGGTTAGATCGGTTCAATGGGTTAGATCCCGGAGTTTCAACCAAATGGTTCCGTCCCGGAGTTTGAATTGAGAACAGAGGTCGGCAAATCGGTTTCTACGGCTGCGGGACGGCATGATTTCGGTCAGTAAACCTGCCGATCTGTTTTATGACGTACAACATGATTTAATAGTTATATCCCCCTCGCCCCCCCCGATCATGTCCTTGCAGCCGCCTATCGCGGTGGACGTTCCTCGGCCAGTGACCGTCCTGGCGGGCTCTGTTGGGGACCTCCTCGCGGCCAAAGTGGTGCGTGTTGGGGTACGGGGATGTGGGGATGTGGGGTGTGTGGGGGTGGGGGGGAAGGGGCGTATCTGAGTGGGAGGGGTTTGGAAACCGTGTTTTGGCGGTGAGGGGCGGATGTGGATCTGGATTGCAGCCATATGCTTAGGGGGATGTAGTAGGCTGATGTGGTGGTGGTGAGTGTCTTAGTTCCCAAATGTTACAAGATTGCGGGAACTCGTCACACGCCGCTGGGGGGGGAAGGGGAGCCTGGCCCGGTGCTGTATAGGATGCGCTTTGCCGACCCTCCTACATATTGCCCATGCATAGACCTACCTTCCTAACCATCTGCCTGCCTACATACATACATACAAACATATGCACACACAAACACAGGCACGCGAGGTCGACGCCGCCAACCGGCTCTTGAAGGCCACCATCGCGGGAGGTACCGGCGGAACCGGATTGGACGACATCTTCGGACCTGGCGGAGGCGGCGGAGGTGGCGGCGCCGCCGCCGCCGCTGGCGGCGCCATCGCTAGCTCGCCCACCGGTGGCGGCGGTTCCGCTGGCGCCAACAGCATCCGCACGCCGCGCAGCAGCCGTACAATCATTAGCGCCGCCGCCGCCGGCGGCGGCCACAGCGCCCGTGGAGCCCTCAAGGGCTCTTCCGCCAGGGCGTCGACCTCGCACTCCATCTCCCCGCCGCCATCGTCCACTTCCCCGCCGCCAGCAGGGGGCCCGGGCGCGAGCCCGGCCGCCGGCGGCGGCGGCGCCGCCGCCGCCACCGGCGGCGACTCATCCAGCGGCGAGGACGCCGCCGGCTCCGCCAGCGCCAACCCCGCACTGTCCCTGTTCCAGCCTCAGCCCCTTTCCGTACTTGTAGCTACCGGCGACGGCGGCACAGACAGACTCTACCGCTTCCCGCGGCTGTTGCTGACGGGGGCGCAGCACATGTGCCTCTTCGAGCACGTCGACGGTTGTCGGTTCTGTGAGGCGCTGTACGGCCACTACTTGCTGCCGAATGGGATGCTGGCGCACTTCTACTTGGGGGATACGGTAGTCAAGGTGGGCGGGTATGGAAAGAGTGGTGAAAAGAACAGCCTGGCCGGAACGGTATAGGAGTCGCAAAATTGGTGTCGGTGCCCCCTGCTGCCTCGGGGGTATTTCTAGTGTGTATGGATTTACCCCGGCATGTACGACTTGATGGTGTTTTACCCCTTCCCTCCCCCTTCTCCCAACCCGTCCTAAACCACACAGGGACATAGAGTGGATTTGGTACCCGCCCCCGACATTCCTTTCGCACCCTCGGACTGGGTGCCCGACGGCTTCCCGGCATGTACGGCATTGAACGACTGGGGAGGACCCGTACCTGCACGGCAGATGGTACTGCAGCCGCTGCTGTCAGGAGCTGGTCTCGGAACCGGTTTCGGGGCACGTGGCGGCAGTGGTCGGCGCGGCGGCGGCGGCGGCGGCGGCGGAGGGGGAGGAGGCGGAGGGGTGCTGTTGGAGGCGTTGTGGTGTCCGATGCCGCTGACGGCGCCGCCGCTTCGTCCCGAGCAGCGTTGCGCGCTGGAGTGGGACGAGAGTGGTTCGGACCTGCGGATAAGGAGGTGCGGTGGGTTGGCTGGGGTCCACACATCCATCCGCCCACCCAGACGGCTTGTAGTATAGGGTTTTAGGGTTTTAGGGTTGGGAATGCGGATATGGGGGCTGTTTCTCTACGAACAACATTAACCTCTCTCAAGGTGAACACATCGTCGCGGAAATTTATGATGCCTTTCTCTAATTAATGATTGTTACAGGGTGGGAGGCTTCTGTGCCGATTGCACACACGCACACACACGAAGAGAGAGAGAGAGAGGGAGAGAGAGAGAGAGAGAGAGAGAGAAGAGATATCAATATAGAATGATGCCCTTCTGATTTAATGGCGCCGGAAAATGTGTCATTGTCGTCCTCGTCGTCGCCGTCGTGCTCGTCGTCGTTCCCATAAAGGGGCCGTTAATGCCTCCCGCCACCTCCCCTTGATGTCACCGCGGTGCTCCATCCGTACCATGTCTGAATGCGCATGTGACAAGTACGATGTACGGCGCTATGTTTGTTTGCGCACAAACCGACATACAGCCAAGGGGTGTCAAACTTTTCATCTTCGACGCCTGTCCCCGTCTTTTTTGACGGAACTAACCGATAATCAGTTGTTTGATTTTTTTAACCAAAATTGTTTGCTAAAGTTTTTTATTGTTTAAAGGACATTTAATCCTTAATTTTTTAACCTTGATCATTTTTTTTGTTCCCTATCTCTCGTTCTCTAATCGCCCTCGACCCCCTCCTCTCCCCAACTGCGCAACCGTCGCACGTGCACCACCTGCCAACTACCAACCGTCAACTGCTGCTGTGTCAGTTTTGCGCTGGAGGTACGGCTGCGTACGGTGACTCGTACGGAGACGCTGCAGGAGGTGGTGGAGCCGCCGCCTCCCCCTGTGACGAAGACCAAGAAGAAGAAGGGTGCTCCCGGGCGGGCGAATGCGGCCCGTGGCGCATCCGCTAGGGGGGGGAGTAGGTGGTGAGCTCGCAGAGGCTTTACGACACCGACCTACGTCAAACCCAGTATGTATTTTCACTTTTACTTACACTTACACTTACACTTACACTTGTACTTGTACTTACATTTACATTTACACATAATAATTGGAAGCAAAAGCTTGGTGGCGGGAACATGTGAGAAAGTGGGTTAGTTAGTGTAGCTATGTATGTATGTGCGTGCGTTTTGTTTTTGGTGTGTTAATGTGCGTATGAATGACAACCGACGAACCAACGAACCAACTGAATAACGGAATTTCTTCTTGCGAAGGGGGCGGAGGGGGTTGTCCGAGGGGTTCATCCGGATCCCGAAGCCCCAACCCCCCGCCTGCCCCCCACCCGGGGGACCTGCCGGAAGGGACAACGAAAGCTCCGGAAAGCCAGTCTGGATACGTATGATGAAAATTCGGGAGGTGTAGTCGAGTATGTGTGTATGTATGTATGTATGTATGTATGTATGTATGTATGTATGTCTCTCTTCGTGTGTAGAGCTACCGCGTGTATGCGCTCTCGCGCGTATGTGTGTGTTGTGTGTGTGATAGAGGGTGTGAGAGTAAAAGTGACACTCAGTTTTTCGGATAGGACAACAACAACTGGTTTTTCTGATACCGTCGCACCGTACGGCACTTTGTCACACGTGCGTTATATAGATGGCTGTATAGAACGATGTTTCTGTGTAACCGTTAACGACTTGCAGATCCGTAACCCACTGCCGGAAGGGGGGACGGTAATGGAGGGTGGGTAATGGAGGGTAGGTAATGGAGGGTGGGTAATGGAAGGTTCTTTCGAATGTTCTCTCGAACGATGTCCTCCATGTGCCGTATGTAGGCTTCCTGCCTTCCCTCCCGCCACTCCTGCCACTTGGGGTGGGTAAGGGGTAAAAGACACACATTTGCTCGCTTGTTTGTTTGTGATGTATCTGCGGTATCTCTGCGTTGAATTGGTCCGCACGCGATTCTATCCGCTGTACATGTACGGCAGGTGACATACGCACAAACGTACGCACTTATGTATGTTTGTATGAATGTATGTGTGTGCACGCACGTGCCTCCGTATCTGTTGCCACATGAAAGGAACATTAACCATGTCGCCATGCAAGCATGCCTGCGTGTGTGTATGTCTGTATGTCTGTATGTATGCGGAGTAACGGGTAGTGAATGGCGGAAGCGGCAATCGCGAAGTCGTGGTGATGCTTCAAACCGATGATGAGTGCCGCTGCGGCGAAAGGGGGGCCCAAGCGGAGGTGGGGGAGGGGGTATTCGCGGTTCCGTAATTATTACTACTATTGCGGTGATTCGACCCTCCCTCCCACCCTCCATCCATCTTTTTCCAATGCGTTGAATGTGCTGCTAGCTCCCCGCTTTTGGAATTTCATAGCAGGTGGTGGCTCCCTGCAGACCATATCAGTGCGATGTGAACCCATCGTTTTCGGGTTTTCGGGTTTTAGAGTTGGGAGTGCTGATAGTGTGCGAATCCACCTGGGTAGCGCTGGAGGGCGCGGCCCCAACGCGCTGTAGGTCCTTTTGCTGGAGGGCGGTTAGGATGCGGTTGGTGGGTTGGTTAGTGGGTTTGTTCGTTGGAATGAGAGACGCACCCGGAGGTACGGCAGGAGCTGCTCTTGTTGAGTGACTCTTCGGACATGTATTGTGTGAAAGTCTGAACAACTGAAAACGGCAACATCAGGACAACTGTCAACTGCTGTCGACGTTTGGCTTACTTCGTTGGTTCTGGTACGGGCTACCGCAAGGGGGGGGGTCTGGATTAAAATGGACAGCACACAGCTAGCGGACGCATCTGGTAATATGGTGAAGCTTACATCAGGAGAGGCTGCTACCTCACCTGGCGTGTGTGAGTAGGCTGTGCTTCTGAGCAGTACAAGGTTGGCAATGTAAGACAGCGGCTATTTTGTTGTTTGATGAGGCAGCAGACCTCCAGTTGCGTTTGTATCCATCCATCATCACTGAGAATGAAATGCCCAAGGAGCAGCGCTAATAAAAACTCCTTTTTGTGGTGGTGGTGGTGGTTTTGGTCGGATCCTGTTGTTTGACTGTGCCACCATGAAGCTGCCTCCGAGGGGCTGGTGTTGCTGTACAATCTACAACACTTGCAGAGGTAGCAAGGGTGGTCCAGGACAAGCAGGACTCTAATCTAAACTTTGTCGCATCGTCTAGTGCTGAGCCTACAACAGCATGGGCTGCGGCACGAACTGGACACAGGAGATGATATACTCTCACGCAAAGGCTTCACCACATCTTCACAACCTTTCCCCCTCCAGGTCAACCCGCACCTTTGGGTCACCGCACAGGGCTCTGCACACTCCCGGCCACACCACACATACACCCCGGGTACAATAGACACCCCACCTCGTCAAGCTTTACTCGCACTGCGACTCTCTTCCTCACGAGCTCCTTTGAATCCGCGGAAAGCAGCACCACTTTTCATAATTCACATCCCCTGAATGTTGCATTTTGTCGTGTTGTATAGCGAAGGTTCGCTGTGAAAGGACGTGTACTGTTTATTATATCGTACTGTAGCAAGCCACATTTACCTTAGGATATCTTTAAGCTATTAAAGCTTAATCACAGTAACGGTATGGTCACCTAGTTACGAACCATATTCGTTAACTGTACGAGCTCACTTTCTGTTGCGCTATCACAACCTAGCGTACGACACCAAGACTCCAGGAATGGAGATGGCGGCAGGTGGGCCGCATTTAAGCCATCCTGGCGAACTGCTTCGGCCAGACACTTTCGTATCACTATACTAGTGTTCGGAGTTCAAGACTCTGCTGTCACCGTTCTCGACTTATGTCTTCGAACTCCGATTTCCCGTATCGCTTCTCGCTTCTAACACTTAGCCGTCCTTCGTGGTCGAGGCCCTCCCCTCCCACGGCCTTGCAACCCAACACTTCCGCAGAACAGCCTAAGGTACGGGATGGCTGCTACACGTACACAGCAACTCATAAAATATCACCATTCGTGTTGAGCACCTAAGAAGTCGCTATGTTCGTTCGCTAGGGAACAATGTACAGGCAGGCTAGGCAAGGAGATGCATGCACATGCACAACACAAATATCAGCGGGTTTAGACTCCCGGACACCTTGCAGGGCAGGACAGTACGACAACCCAACAGCCAGTATTGCAGCCCCGCCCTGATCTCCCAGTGCTGCTTTTTCTGTGCCTGATTAGGACACATCCCCATACCCCTGCCGAAAACCCCTACCACGAGCTTGAATTTGGTTGGTACTTGGTAGGGATTCACCAACGAATTGTGCCCAAATCACCCAAAGGGGGTAGGGTTGCCGTAACACCATCATAACACTTCTACATCCATCTTCACCTCCACCTCCACCGCTTAAAACAGTCAACCGGATCAACTACCGCCACGGCCGGTCGTCGCCACTTTCCACACCATACCTTTGAACTGTCATGGAAACTTGCTTCAAGAAGAACACAAGACGAAGATGCACAGGCAAGGGGGGCGGCGGCTGGTACTCTGGCCAATACACGGGGTATTGCCATTACGGCAGGTCGGGTAGCGCCAGGATGCACTTGCAGGCCACCTCTGGCTCCGCCGCCCCGATCTCAGATTTTGTATGTATGTATGTATGTATGTATGTATTGGAGGGGAGCACTAATAATAAAATCGGGAAAAAAGATATCTCAATAACATGAATGTATGTATTGATGTGCAGGTGTTGTGTGTGTGTATGGTAGGTGTGAGGGGCTCATAGGGCCAGGCCTTTCTGTATTTAAAATAAAAAGCGCATTTAGAGTTAGGGGCGGCATTCTATATATGTGTGTGTGTGTGTGTCCAGGCAGTGTGAATCACGGACAAGTGGAGGACTTGGAACTGTTCCTTTAAGTGTCTTGAAAGGCACGGCCTAAGACTTGGTTGGTGCGCATGGTGAGGGAGAGAGGAGCGGGCTTGGTGCAGTTTGATCGTTTGCCGTCACCGTACGGGCCATGGCATGTCGTACACATGAGTGAGTGGAGTAATGGAACTTTATCGCGCCAAAGCCAGCAGGAGGTGCACTTAGGACACTTGGATGCAGTGATGATAAAGTCATGTGGGCTGCCTGGGAATGTACGAGAACGTACGGGAATGTACGGAATGTATGGGAATGTAAATGTTTCTTGACTTCAAAAGTGCTAGCTGTCCAAGCTAGTCCAGCGTGTGGCGGCTTGCGGCTGCTGGTTAAGTTGCGTGACGAGATAGAACAGTGGACGTTCGCTCAAGCAGCCCTCCCTCAATTACATGTGCCTGAGCGCTGCCGATGGCTTTATGAACTTCGTTAGGCCGGTGCGGGTGAGAGATCGAACCGCGTTGTGGCGCCAGCCGGAGGGCGCGAAGGGGGAGGAGGTGCCTCGCGCAGCGCAGAACAAAAGGAATTCCCCACAGCCGTTTCCTAGCTAGTCAGCTAGGCACGGGTTGCGGCATGGTTACATATTGCAAATGACAAGACTGCCGATAGACTAGATTCACACAACACGTACCTGTTAAAATTGAATTGTTAGAGATTTCGGGGGCAAGGGCGTTTGCGGGGTAGAGTTCAAAGTGGTGGGATGAATGGACATGAGTGAACACGTGCGGTAACGGGTCGGTAAGCTTACAGCGGTTCAACACGCACGATGTAAGGGAGATGGCGCTTAATATTGATCCCGAGGCTAGTTAATTCCGTTCTATGCGTTATTCGAGCGTACGGCGCTTCCTTGCAGAAACAGGGCTAACCATTTTGCAGTTTGCATTTTTTCTTCGCCAGCTTATTGTTACAAAGCTAAAGATGCTGTTATATCCTTGAAAGGTGTTTGGAACTGAAGTAACAAATTTTGGCTTAGCCAAATTACTTTCCTGTTGGTAGGCAGCTGGCTCACAGGACACTCCTGCGCCTTGCAAGGTATATCGCTTCACATTCTCATAATTTAGTCATGGTTTTTAGGACCAAACGCAGCGCAATAAGTGTATGCAGGCAAGTCAAAGTGCGTCCTGACGGCACAAGGACTTATGCACACGCCGGCAGCGTTACCAGCACACGTGATTTAATAACTATTCTGAGGTGTTCTTTGTGATGTATTATACACCAGAAGTGTTTGCCTAGGAAAACGGTGCACACCCAGCATACTATATCGAACAATGTTATGCTGCTTACAGTAAATGTCACAAACCTTTCAGGGCTGCGCGAATACATTTCTTTCCAAATCACAACATACTTAAAGTTCTGCCTTCATTCTTTCGACTCGCTTCTGTGTAACTTTTGGGGTGGCCTTCACTATTTCGTGGCCACGCACCCCTGCTGATTTATTTGCTCCTTGCTTCCCTTGCCCCCACCTCCCCCACGATGGCAGAACCTTTGTCCCACATCGTCCACAGCTGACGTAAATCCTGCCTTTTGCTATACGTAGCGAACGGCATCTCCGCCGGAACGGCTGTTGTCCGCCTCATCCAAGTCGCTTACCTCCTTTCGCCAATTGTAAGACAACCTGCACACAGTAAGGTGCGCTGCCATGTCGGGTTGGCTCCTTACCCATTTGCTTTTTCTCCTGATTTGGGTTTATATTATATTACGGGTGTTTCGATGCGAAATCTTCGTGCATGTGTGTCCGTATATGTGTGTGTGTGTGCGTGTGTGTGTCGCGTCACATAACTGCCTTATACTCGAAAAAGCATGTGCAAAACGGAACACGCATATATCCGCACGGAGATGCTAGCTAAAGGAAAGACGGTAAAATGGACGTGACGCGGGAATGGTGTGACATGTGCGTGGTTAAACACATAAAAAATTATGTGTGTTCGTGTTTTGCTTTCCATCTAAACCCGCATGCAGGGCAACTGGGGACAACAACTTTTCCTTCCGCGTCATCCCTAAACCCATTCCACATGCGGCAATAATGATAAATAACAACAGCAATGTTATAATGATGGTGCACACGTTGCTCTTTTAATAGGCGCGCCCGCTGCCTCAGCAGTAATCCCCAAGTCCCCGGTCGAACTAAATAATGCATTAGGAAATGATGTGCAGCACAGCAGCCCGTAGCTGCCTTCGCTACCCCCACTGGGCGACCCCCACTTGCAAATGCCTGATGACCTAACGACGGAATCACACACAGGTGATTTGGAGAGATTCCTACCCCTAAACTTATTTCATCCACACTACCAATATAACACCACATGCATGGATGCGTCATGAAAGGCACCTCGGTGAGAGAGAGAGAGATGGCAGCAGTAGCAGCAGCAGCAGCAGCAGAAGCGGCAGCAGCAGCAGCAGCAGCAGAAGCGGCAGCAGTACCGGCAGCAGCAGCTTCGGCAGTAGTCGTAGGCTGCTAGGGGCTTACGTAATTAGCTACTTCAGACAATCATCTGCGGGAGCTTGAAATGATACGAACAGGGCCCGATTCGTTTTCTGGACGGAGTACGATGGATTGGTGCTTAAGTACGGCATGTGTGTATGTATGTATGTATGTATGTCCTGCAGGCCGATGCACCCCTCATCTGCAAGGGCGACGTAACGGCTACGACCTCTCAAAAGTCCCGAAAGCCGCAGCCGCCCTCGCCCCCCTCCATGGGCGCATCCGCGGCGGAGGGGGACAGCGACGGCGACGTCAACGTTGCAACGGCCCACACCACAGGTGCCGCTGGCGATGGTTCCGATAATGGTGGCGTTAGTGCTGCGAAAGAGATGAAGGCCGAGCCGCAGAGCATCGGTAGCGACGGCAGCAGCAGCATCACCACCACCACCACCAGCGGCGGTGCTGATGCGCGCAACGACGGTGGCGGCAGCGGGCAGGTGGAAATGGACATTGATGGGGAGGAGGAGAAGGAAGGCGACGCGGCGGAGGAGGGGGATGAGCGGGAGAGTAATGATGCGCCGGGCGAGGGCGGCGTGCAGCCTCCACCAAAGCGGCGGAAGAAGGAGACCCCGGAGCAGCCAGGTGCAGGCAATGGCAGCGGCGGCGGCCAGCCGGGAGCTGACGTTGGAAGTGGCCGCAGTGAGGGCAGCGGCGGCGGCGGACTGTCGAATGCTATTCGGGCGGTGACGGTGGCGGTGGCAGAGGTTGCAGCAGCTGTGGCGGCCAATAACTACGTTCCCAGCGGCGGCGCCGCCGCCATCACCCGCGGCAGTGGCGGCGGCGGGGGGGGAGTTAAGAGTCCGCAGCCCGAGGGGACGCGGAAGGCGGCTGCTGACGGCACGACGTCGCAAAGGGATGGCACCGGACTTCGGGGTCGGGGTGGTAGGGGCCGGGGTGGTAGGGCGCGGGAGGGAAATGGCGGACGAGGGAATATCACGGTCGTTGGGGGGACAGAGGGGGAGGA